ACATTCTGAGTAACAGGTCAAATAACTCAAAACCAAAACAGATTTCTAAGGCAACAAAGGTAACCTCCGACACAACATATTTTCTGTGTCACTCGTCAACTCACATCTGTCACTTGTTCCACTTCCAGTGATTTGCCAATTCCCCCAAAGGCAGATGTTTCCTGTCATCTCTTATGTGTGTGTACCTGTTTATACCCATCTATGTGACACTGCCAATGTCCTGCTTGCTTAGAATAATGGTGTTACTTTCATAATAGACTTGTTGAATTCCCCTTGTAACAAATAAGAGATTTGCATTTAATACTTGTGCAGGGAATATTTTTCTTTTAACATTTTAGATCCAAAAAAGGCTCTATACCTCACGTATCTTTGTGTCTCTCATGTCCCTCTGTGTCCCTATGGGAATAATATTTTATTCATTTTAAACATAAAGTCCACTTAAAATCAAAATCAAAGCTATCAGACATTAACTATTTATTCCTTTTAATTTTTATTATTTTTTACTTATTATTCATACATTAAAATGCTATACATCATTTAGATTGTGAAGAGACTTTAACAAGCATGATATACCTCAGTCCAGCCTAGTTGAGACTATTGTACACATCCTTGTCAACAGATAAAAAAAACCTCATCTGTGTCCCACAAGTGTCTTACCTCTCCATTTTCCCCCCAAATTTCCTTTCCTATGCTCTTCCCTTCACCCACTCTGTTTCCACTTTATCTCTAGTGTCCATTACAATTTTTAATGCTTTTATGTTCTCCAGTCTTTCAGTCTCTACCATAGAGTGCAGACATAGCCTGACTTGCTTCACTCAGCAACAAATCTTCCATTTTGTCCACTTTCTATCAAATTCCAGGGCCTCATTGTTTTTTATGGCTGAATAGTATTCCATGAAGTGTATGTGCCATAATTTTTCAGTACATCCATCTGTTTGTGGACATTTGGGTTGGTTCCATGTCTTAGCAATCATGAATAATGCTGCAATGAAAACAGTTACGCAAACACTTTTCCGACTGAGTGCTCTCCTGTCCTTTGGGTAGATACCCAGGAGTGTAATTGCTGGATCATATGGTAGTTCTATTTGAAGGTCTTTGAGGAACCTCCATAATGCTCTCCATAGTGGCTGGACCAATTTACATTCCCACCAACAGTATTGGAGTGTCTCCCTTTCACCACATCCTCTCCAGAACTTATCTTTTTTTTTTTTTTTTTTTATTAGTCATTCTGACTGGGAAATCTTTGCCATTCTGACTGGGGTTAGGTGGTATCTCATTGTGGCTTGATCTACATCTCCCTTACAAAGAGGGATGTTAAGCATTTTTTCATATGCTTTTTGGCTGTTTATATGTCTTCCTTAGAGAGTTGTTTATTCAACTCATATCCCTAATTATATTGAATCTCTTAAAATGACATTATTTCTAATTTTATCCTAAAGCTTACTCCTATTTTTTTTCCCCTGTTAACCCAATATAGACTACTATGGGATATGCTAAACTGGAAGCTATTAGACATTAAAGGACACAAATTAAATGCCAAGCATAATTGCAATGATTAAAGACAAAACATTCATTTCTTTGTCTTTCTTCCTTTTATTTATTTATTTTTTTTAGAAATATTTTTACTGTAGGTCATATGCACTTGCTGGGGACAGAGAGAGACAGAAAGTAATAAATAAACTCCCCAGGGAGGATGGTCACACCACAATCCCTTCTCTTCCATTGTTCTCTAGGGATTTGGGGCACTCATGCAAACACTCCTGGCATGAGTTTAAACCAGTAGGTCTGGGTCTAAAACGGCAGTAGACAAAGTGAGAGTCCAGTGACATAGCCATTATGCTACCTGCTGGTCCTGTCTTTTTTCACCTTTTAAAGTCCTACTTGATTTGTGAATCTGCTGTGCTAAATATGTTTGTGTGTGTGTGTTACAAAATGATGAGCATTAGGAGACACCTCAATAGTTAGTAAATATGAATAAAACAGAAAGGTGTGTTAGGCTTCACGAAGTCACTGCTGTGACAGTAACTTTTGAAGAGTCATTGGTGATTAGAATGGAAATGACCTAACCAAGACTTAAACTACGCTGAAGCACAATGACTTCAGGGACAAAACGTCTCTTTTTTCTATTTCTTTGCCTCCAACTCCATCTTCTGCTTCAATATTGGCTATTTACAGGTCATCATTATCTGTTTTGTCAATAAGGACTAATACTGATTTGGCACTGTGCTATCTAAATCAATGTTAAACCACTACATCTGGGATCAATGTAGATTTTGTTTATATAACATTAATTGAGTCAAATCATGATTTGGTCACTGGACTCCAGTAACTATGAAATGAATAGAAGTGACTATTATTTACTTAGTTTTGCATATATACTCCCTGGATATCAAGAGAGTGAGAGCAAGAGGGAGAGAGAGAGAGCCCCCTTCATGGGTATGGTCATGCTTCAATCCCTTCTCCTTTCTTGCTCCCTCTCTTCAGGAATTGGGCATGCAAGCACAAGCATCAGGTGTGTTTCTCAAGCCCCTGGAGTCAGGGACTCTAATCTTGTAGCTACGTGAAATCTAGCTGCCTTAACCAGCAGGCCATATGCCGGTTCAAAAATTTCTATTTGGTGATATAATTATGATACATAATTAAGTTCTTCAAACTTCTATTAGACATAGCACATTTCAAATTTAAGTTCAAAAAAGTTTATATATAAGATGGCCATGCTATAATTCCTTCTCCTCCATTCTTCTTCTGGGATCTTAGGCATGCACACACATATGTCTGGTGTGAGTTTCAAGCTATAGGGTCAGGGACTTGAACTGTGGTGGCCATGTGGGAGTCCAGCAATGTAACTGCTACACCATCTGCTGGCTCCTAAAAAGCTTATATGCTTTTATCTGATGCTTCATTTTATCCTATATTGACTTTATTTTGGAAGAAACTTATTTCTGTACTCTATTGTCATGTAGCATTTTTAAACACATTACTTGTACACAAGCTATAGGGTCAGGGACTTGAACTGTGGTGGCCATGTGGGAGTCCAGCAATGTAACTGCTACACCATCTGCTGGCTCCTAAAAAGCTTATATGCTTTTATCTGATGCTTCATTTTATCCTATATTGACTTTATTTTGGAAGAAACTTATTTCTGTACTCTATTGTCATGTAGCATTTTTAAACACATTACTTGTACATTCTTACAAATGCTAATAGAAAATCTTAATGATTTAAAACACAATAGGATGTACATATATTATTTTCTACATTATTATAAAACATTAAAATAATAAAGTCCTTGCCTTGTAAATAGCTATTTCATTTTAGTATCATATAAACGTGTTTTACTTATAGCGATATGAAATAAAATCATAAACATAAATAATTGAAAATAATAATAAAATAATTAAAATATATTAAAACATTCTGGCAAAAAACAGAAATATTTTATAAGATTATTAAGTATTGCCAGACTTATTTATTAAATAGAAAATTATAATCATATTACTGTTCTGTACCAAAAGTAAGATGAAAGTGGTAAACCTATTATGTTCATCAAATTCTATTTCTGTGCTTGTGCTCAGTAACCAGCTAAGCAACACATTGCTAATACTCTGTTTTACCAAAAAACAAACAAACAACACCAACAACAAAAACAAAACTCATAATACTTCAAATATCTGGAACCACTAAAAGAAGAAAAACCTATAAAAAGTCAGCTTGTAAAAAAATTATTGTGATTTTGCTTCTGACAGAAATAGAGTAACAGGGACTGGATTTGTTCTTGCAACTAGTGAAATAGAGAAGATACATTAACCTTAGTGAAGACACTGAACATCCAGTCAAGATGTTTTGCGATACTGGAAAATGTAATAGAAAGCAAGCAAATCCTATGGTTTTCTCACTTTGGACCTTGCACTTCCAGACTGTGGTATAGAGACTGAGTATCCTTACACACTCCATATGTGGAGGCGGAGCTAAAAGTCCAGGGAAATTAAGGTGGCTATCGATTGCAGAGTCCTATAGCAGAGAGAGCTGAACAGAGAGTGAACTCTGGAGATGTTAAGAGGTCCTCCTTGAATAGCGAGAAGAATAGTGATCAATGCATGTGTGTTAGGAAACTATCTGACACTGAAGATTAGAGAAAACCCTACCAGCATTCACCGTGTGCCAGAATACTACCTGCTTCAATCACCTACGCTAACCAACATTTTAAATGGAGCATTGCGTAGAATATTCAAAAGGGTCTTCACTCAGCAGTGGGGAAATAATTAACTGTAGACTAAAAGTTGCTCTGTTTCTACCTAACAAATCTTCAAATTGTAGATGCAAAAGGGTCAGGCTATCTATAAATGATGTAACTGTGTTCTGTAACAAAGGTCAAGAAATTTTATAGGAATGAAAAAAAAATATATATATATATATCAATCCCTCCAAAGTAAAATTGATATCGTCTGGAGTTTATTTGGAAATATCCAGGAATATAAAAAGACTTATAATGAAGAGAAAAATTAATCAGAATGGAATAAGAACTCAACCAGATGTTAGAGTTAGCAGAAAAGGACTTTAAATAGTTGTTAAAATGGTCTTACACATGTAATTAAAGACATGAAAATTATTAAAAAATGCAGATCTATGGAAAGGAAATTCAAAAGGGTCTTCACTCAGCAGTGGGGAAATAATTAACTGTAGACTAAAAGTTGCTCTGTTTCTACCTAACAAATCTTCAAATTGTAGATGCAAAAGGGTCAGGCTATCTATAAATGATGTAACTGTGTTCTGTAACAAAGGTCAAGAAATTTTATAGGAATGAAAAAAAAATATATATATATATCAATCCCTCCAAAGTAAAATTGATATCGTCTGGTGTTTATTTGGAAATATCCAGGAATATAAAAAGACTTATAATGAAGAGAAAAATTAATCAGAATGGAATAAGAACTCAACCAGATGTTAGAGTTAGCAGAAAAGGACTTTAAATAGTTGTTAAAATGGTCTTACACATGTAATTAAAGACATGAAAATTATTAAAAAATGCAGATCAAGTATTTGGAAAATAAAGCTACCATTTCTAAAATGAAAATATGGTGGACGGGACTAATGGCAGATTAGATATTGCAGAAGAAAAGGTGATAGACTTTAAAATAATAGAAACTATCCTAACTGAAATTGACACTCTGATTCTAAATATACATGGAACTATAAAAGACCAAGAACAGCAAAAACAGCTTTGAAAATAAAGCCAAAGTTGGAGAGCTAACACTATCTGATTTTAAAAATTATAGCTACAGTAATTAAAAGATTGTGTTATTGATGTAGAGAGACCAAATAAATTAATTGAACAGAACAGAGTTCATAAATAGATTCACATACAGACAACTGATTTTTAAAAAAGGTTTCTAAGGCCATTTAGTGAAGGAAGAACATTTTATTCAACAAATGGTTCTGGAATAATTAGATTTATATATGTAAAAAAATTAATCTCAACACAAAACTTATACCTAACACAAAAATTAACTTTAAATGGGTCATTTATCTGGATGTAAACATAAAGCTATATAGCTTTAGAAGAAAATATCAGAGAAAAATCTTGGGTTCTGTCCAAATAGTTAAGGGATCCAGATCCTACATGGTCACCTATAGTTTAAAATCTTGGCCCCAGAAGCATGAAAAACATACTGGGCATATATGCCTGCATACCAAAAGTCCAACAGGATGGAGAAATTGGAGTTTTCCCTCCCACCCCCCACTCGTCTCTCTCTGGTGAGCACACTTTCGCTCTAGAAATTAAATTAAAAAGAGAGAAGAATATATCTTTGCCTTTTGGGCCTGCCAGATAATTCTTAGATGAAACATCAACAGCATGATTTTTAAAATAGCAAGAAAAAATGTGTTCAACTATCTTACCAAAATTAAAAACTTTTACTCTTAAACAATAGGAGAATGATAGGAAATGTTCCATGCTAGAGAAAATATTTGCAAAGTATGGATATGAGAAAGAATTTAGATCTTTAATACCTTGCATTTGGGCTTCACTTCATGGTAGCTTACCCTTCACACCATCTAGAGATGGCACCTTTCTTATTACCTCTTCTAGCCTTGATTAACTACAGCTTTAGTTCTAAATTTTCATATGGCTAATTTTTTTTTTTCAGAGATTTTTGCTATAGAGCATGTGGGCTCACTGGAGATATAGAAAGAGACAGAGAGACAGGAAGTGAGAAATCATCCTCCAGGGTGGACGGCAATCTATTCTCCTGTCTCCTCTTGGGATTTTGGGCACATACATACACACGCCTGGCATGAGTTTAAGTCACCAGGTCTGGAACTCAAACCGCAGTCGACCATGTAGGAGTCCAATGACGTAACCAGTAATCATTACGCCATCTGCTGGTCCCTAGATGGTTGATTTTTAAATATCTTTCATATGACTTTCCTTTTTTTTTTTTTTTATTCCACATGTAGATTACAGACTACTCGAAGCCATGAATATTCATGCCCCTAGCAGAATGCCTTTCACATCAGAAGCTCTCTGTATATACTAGGAGACTTCAAAAAGTTAATAGAAAAATGCAGAATATATAAAGAACACTCACTAATAACAAGAAAACAGCCCAGCTAAGAAAAAAATGGGCAAAGTATTTAAATAGCTCTTTCATAAAGTAGCTATACAAATAGAAAATAGGAAAGAAAAGACGCCAAGCATCAATAACCAGTAGGAAAATGCAAATTCACAGCAATGAGATACTTAATAGAATGGCCAAAATTAAAAAGACTGACCATACCAAATGTTGCCAAAGATGTAAAGGAACCACCACAAATCCAATTTTCACTGTCTCCCATTTTTACCTTTCAAGACACACACCTACACAGCTTCTTATAATCAAATATGGCATTTCTATTTCTACTTGAAAGCTAATGATAATTAATAATAAAATTTTGCTTATCATCACGTAGTACCTGAGCTTCCTCCTGTTGCCTTTTCAGCTGCTCGAGCATCTGCTGAAATTCAGCCTCTTTCTGTTCTGCCTCTTCCAAGGTGGCCTGGTTCTGTTCCTCATAGGCCATGGCCACCACAGCCAGGATCAAATTCACCAAATAAAAAGAGCCCAAGAAAATCACTAAGACAAAAAATATCATGTATGTTTTTCCAGCAGCACGTAATGTCTAGGGGAAAAAGGGAACAATTTTCATCAGTACTTTAGCATAATGTTTATCTGATTATCATAATCAGGAGACCAATGCTTTCTGGTATCCAATTTATTTTGACCAATTTATTTTTGCTGTTAAAAATACACACACACACACACACACACACACACACACACACACACACACACATTAGCTGAGACTTGACTGCAATGTCATTTGATAGAAATACATTCCAAATTAGTACATATCGGGTATATATTCGAGCTCCACTAAATGCTTGTGTGGGTTGGTAGTGCTGGGCAATATTGCATATGACAGCATTAGATCTTTCATTCCTTGCAATCGGGTTCTACTTCATGGCAGCCTACTCTCCACACCATCTAGAGATGGCGTCTCTCTTCTTACCTCTTCTAGCCTCAATTAACTATAGCTTGCATTCAAGTTTTTCAGATGGTTGATTTTTAAATATCTTTTACATGATTTTTTTTAATACCACATCTAGATTACAGACTACTCAAAGTTAAGAACATTCACATCCCTAGCAGAATTCCTTTCACATAAGATGCTCTCAGTATGTACTAGGGGACTTCAAAAAGTTAAGAGAAAAATCTAGCTAATGTACAATTTTTTTTTTGAAACCTATGCATTTTTTTAAATAATACACATTGTCCATGAACTTTTTCAAGATTCTCATATAGAACTTCCAAGTGAATAAGCAATGGTTCTTTTAGTGTTATTTGTTTTATACTGGATGATCTTCTGTAGGGGAGTGTTATAAGCAATTACTTATACTTGTTATTTTATTTATGTTCATAAATGTAGTCCTGTAGATGTTCATTTAGACCTTACCAACTGGTAAAGGTTTTCCCAGTAGTCCTGAGTCATGAGTCTAAACAGAGATAGGAAAGCCCAGCTAAAGGTGTCAAAGCTCGTGTAGCCATAGTTGGGGTTTCGACCAGCCTTCACACAGATGTATCCTTCTGGACACTGGCTGTAAGAGAGTGGAACGGAGATAGGGTCAGCAGAGAAATTAAGGCCAATTCAGTCAGTATCGAAGTGTACAAACTGTTAAAACCCAGAGTTGCCATCTATGATGAGCTTCCTTGCCTTCGTATTTCAGGTGATTGCTCACAGTGAAACTGATACCAGATGAAATTTATTAGGAAAACCAAAAGCAAATTTAGGTGCAAAGGAGTCAGTTTATAAACATTTAGAATAGCAGAGAGGTAGCAACCATGTACTTTTAGCTCTGTCACCATCATTATTCTACTCTTTACACAGTGTCAGGAAGCAATAATTAAAATGTGAAAGCTGGAAAACAGCTAAAATAGACAAGTGGGATTACATTAGACTAAGAAGTTTCTTCATGGCAAAAGGCACAGTAATTAGTGTGAATCGACAGCCCTCAGAATGGGATAATATTTTTGTAAATTATGCATCAGATAAGGGACTGGTAAACAGAATACACAAGGAACTAAAGAAGCTGATTGGAAAAAAGATGATCAACCCTAAAAAGATTTGAAAAAAACACTCTCTAAAGATGACATATGAATAGCCAAAAGGCATATGAAAAAATGCTCAACATCCCTCATCGTAAGGGAAATGCAGATCAAAAAAAACAATGAGATACCACCTAACCCCAGTCAGAATGTCTAAGCTTAAAAAAACAAAAAATGAGGGGAACCAGCAGTTAGCGTAATGGCTATGTCGCTGGACTCCCACGTAGTCGACCGCGGTTCGTGTCCTGGACCCGGTGGCTTAAAACTCATGCTGGGCGCGTGTGCGTGCGTGCCCAAGATCCCAAGAGGAGAATGGAGGGGAAGGGATTGTGGCGTGACTATCCCCCCTGGGGGGTGATTTCTCGCTTTCTGTCTCTAAGTCTCTCTCTGTCTGGCGAGCTCACGCGCCCTACAGTGAAAATCTCTCAAAAAAAAAAAAAA